TGGATCCCTGCTTCCAATAATTGATCATTCCCTTCTTCGAGGCCATAACATAACCTGCCCCAGATTTCAGAAGACCTGAAACACTATGTTGTTACTATTCATTTCATATTTACTCAAGACTCAGATCAGGGATTACATCATATACATCGCTATTACCAACATGAAGCACAAGGCCTGGCACAGGCTGAGTATTCAGACATACTGAGCAAATGAAAAAATGAGCAAATGAATAACTTTAGCACTTACTATCTCCATACTACATATATGGTCTGCTGACTACACTGCTAGTCCCTAAAGGACAAGGAACATGTCTCACAGCTCTGCATCCTCCACAGCAACTAGCACAGTAGCAGAAGTGAAGAATCCCTTGTGATATAAGTTCAGAGACTACTGCCTGATCATAAACACACACACACACACACACAAAAAAAAATGTAGGAAAAAGCAGAAGCCAGGGTAGTTTTATCCACGAAAATGTTAATACAAGATATCACATTTCTGGATAGAACAGAAGAAAGGGTAAAAAACACCATGGTCACCAATCTAGAACTGGATCCATCTGGCATCCCTCTTCATTTCCTTTGGAGCTAGAGGTCGCTTGATTAATGCAAGCAGCATGGACTGGTTAAAGTGCTTGAGATCTGACATCAAAACACCTGAGTTCAATTTTTCTTTTAGACATGACAATAGATTATGATTATGTTTTTAAAAAGAGTCAACTGGGTGCCATCACTTTGGGAGGCTGAGGCAGGTGGATCATGAGGTCAAGAGTTCAAGACCAGCCTGGCCAAGATGGTGAAACCCTGTCTCTACTAAAAATACAAAAAGTTAGCCAGGCATGGTGACAGGCACCTGTAATCCCAGCTACTTGAGAGGCTGAGGCAGAGAACTGCTTGAACCCGGGAGGCGGAGGTTGCAGTGAGCCAAGATCACACCACTNAAAAAAAAAAAAAAAAAAAAAAATTCTTCACCGTTTAAAGATATTAATTTATGATTAAAATAATATGATACAAGGAATTTATTTTCATAAGAATCTGGTGGAGAAGGTAAGGGTGAAGAAGTGGAAGTGGATTGGGGAAGAGGGAAAATGAAACAAGTTTGGCCACAAAATGATAACTTTTGAAGCTGGGTAATGGGCACATGGGAATTAAACTATTCTCTCTACTTGCATAGTATATATTTGAAATGTTCCATAACAAAAGGTTTAAAAAAAAAATCCAAGTTCAAATCCATACTTTCCATTTACTACTGGATGACCTTGAATACTAAACTGCTCTAAGCTTAGTTCCATATCTGGAATTTAGAGATAACAATGGTACTGTAACCAGGATTAAATAAAATATTACATGTGGAAAGTGCAAATGTTAACTGCTTTTAGAAGTGTTATTATAAATAATTATTGATAATAGAGCTTTAATATCATAATAATGGTAGATATTGCTAAGAAAAAGACTAACTGAAAATAGATCACTGAGAGATTGAAAACTTCTTGAGAAATCCTGATTTTGGCCAGATGCAGTGGCTCACACCTATAATTCCAACCCTTTGGGAGGGCCAGAGGGTTGCCTGAACTCAGGAATTCGAGACCAGCCTGGGCAACACAGTGAGACTCCATCTCTACAAAAATTAAAAAAGAAAAAATTAGCTGGGAGTGGTAGCATGCACCTGTAGTCCCATCTACTCAGGAGGCTGAGGTGGGAGGATGGCTTGAGCCTGGGAGTCCAGACTGCAGTCAGCAGTGATCATGCCATTGCACTCTAGCCTGGGCAACAGAGCAACAGTCTCAAAAAAAAAAAAAAAAAAAAAAAGATGCCAGGCACAGTGATTCATGGTTCATGCCTGTAATCCCAGCACTCTGGGAGGCTGAGGAAGGTAGATCACTTGAGCCCAGGAGTTTCAGACTAGCCGTGGCAACATGGTAAAACCCCATCTCTCTTTTTTTTTTCTTTTTTTTTAAAGGAGGCAAACGGTAGGGAAAGAAAAAGGGAGCAAAAGGGTGGTAGAATCCCATCTCTATGAAAAATCCAAAAATTAGCCAGTCTCATAACACAGTCTCTAGATATATAGATAAGATTTTTTAAAGAAAAGAAAGAACAACCAAAAAAAGCCTGATTTTATTCATGTAAAACATAAGTGAAACATTTATAATACCCCTTCAACATTCCAAGGAACTTGCCAGGCACTGTTTCAGTTTCTTCATCAAATCAATGTCATCAAAATAATAAGAACTGTTCTAGAGATTTAAAAAGACTAAATGCCTGCATTTCTTTGCCTGTGGGGGAAAAAAAAAGACTAAATGCCATGTGGGGACCTGGTTTGCATTTTGATTTGAACACATCAACCATAAAAAAATATTGGGGGAACGGCCGAGCACGGTGGCTCACGCCTGTAATCCCAGCACTTTGGGAGGCCGAGGCGGGTGGATCACGAGGTCAAGAGATCAAGACCATCCTGGTCAACATGGTGAAACCCTGTCTCTACTAAAAATACAAAAAATTAGGGGGTTAGGGGGAAAATAAGCCGGGCATGGTGGCGTGTGCCTGTAGTCCCAGCTACTCAGGAGGCTGAGGCAGGAAAATTGCTTGAACCCAGGAGGCGGAGGTTGCAGTGAGCCGAGATCGCGCCATTGCACTCCAGCCTGGGTAACGAGAGAAACTCCGTCTCCAAAAAAATAAAATAAAATAAAATAAAAAAATAAAAAAATAAAAAGTCCCTCCACTTTCTCATAGCAGTGACAAAAAAAGAAAAAACAAAAAAAAGATATTCCATTTTAAGAGATATGTAATGAAATAATTTTTTTTTTAAATGACTTATCTTTTAAAAATTCAGCAAAGCAAAGTCAGGCATGGTGGCTCATGCCTGTAATCCCAGCACTTTGGGAGGCGGGTGGATTACCTGAGGTCTGGAGTTTGAGACTAGCCAAGCCAACATGGTGAAACGCTGTCTCTACTAAAAATAAAAAACTAGCCAGGTGTGGTGGTGCACACCAGCTACTCAAGAGGCTGAGGCAGGAGAATAGCTTAAACCCAGGAAGCGGATGTTGGAGTGAGCCCAGACTGCGCCATTGCACTCTAGCCTGCCTGGGCAACAGAGTAAGACTCCTTTCAAAAAAAAAAAATACAGCAAAACCAATAGAGCAAATTTGGCAAAACAGTAATAACTGTTAAATTCTAGGAATGAGTATTTGGTAGGTCATTATAGTATTTTATCTACTTTTTATAAGCTTAATAATTTGGGAGCTGGGTATGATGGTTCACACCTGTAATCTCAGCACTTTGGGAAGCCAAGGCAGGTGGATTGCTTGAGACCAGGAGTTTGAGACCAGCCTGTGCAACATAGCAAAGCCCTGTCTCTACAAAAAAAATACGAAAATTAGCCGGGCATGCTGCACACACCTGTAGTCCCAGCTACTCAGAAGGTTGAGGCAGGAGGATCAATTGTGCCTGGGAGGTCAAGGGTACATTGAGCCATGATAGCACCACTGCACTCCTGCCTGGGAGAGAAAGCAAGACCCTGTCTCAAAAATAGTAATAGTAATAATAATAACAATTTTCAGGCTGGGCGTGGTAGCTCACACTTGTAATCCCAGCACTTTGGGAGGCCAGGATGGGTGGATCACTTGAGGTTAGGAGTTCAAGACCAGCCTGGCCAACATGGCAAATCCCCATCTGTATTAAAAATACAAAAAAAAAAAATTAGCTGGGTGTGGTGGTGCATACCTGTGGTCCTAGCTACTCTGGAGGCTGAAGCAGAAGAATCACTTAAATCAAGGAGGCAGCCTTCCTTTCAGCCGGAACCACCATCTTCCAGTAATTCGCCAAAATGACGAACACAAAGGGAAAGAGGAGAGGCACTCGATATATGTTCTCTAGGCCTTTTAGAAAACATGGAGTTTTTCCTTTGGCCATGTATATGCGAATATATAAGAAAGGTGATATTGCAGACATCAAGAAAATGGGTACTGTTCAAAAAGGAATGCCACAAATGTTATCATGGCAAAACTGGAAGAGTCTACAATGTTACCCAGCATGCTGTTGGCATTATTATAAACAAACAAGAGCAAGATTCTTGCCAAGAGAATTAATGTGCATACTGGGCACATCAAGCACTCTAAGAGCTGAGGTAGCTTCCTGAAATGTGTGAAGGAAAATGATCAGAAAAAGAAAGAAGCCAAAGAGAAAGATACCTGGGTTCAACTGAAACGCCAGCCTGTTCCACCCAGAGAAGCACACTTTGAGAGAACCAATGGGAAGGAGCCTGAGCTGCTGGAACCTATTCCCTATGAATTCATGGCATAATAGGTGTTTTAAAAAAAAAAAAAAAAACCAAGGAGGCAGAGGTTGCAGTGAAACAAGATCACACACTGCACTCCAGCCTGGGTGACAGACCAAGACTCTGTCTCAAAATAATATAAAATAAAACTTAGCCTGGAGTAGTTGCACATGCCTGTAGTCCCAGCTCCTTGGGAGGCTGAGGCAGGAGAATCACTTAAGCCCAGGAGTTTCAGACTGCGGTGAGCTATAATGGTACCACTGAACTCTAGGCTGGGTGACAGTAAGCCTCTGCCTCAAAAAAAAAAAAAATTTTTTTTTAATATTTTTCATTAAAAAAAGAGAGCACTGCCATTAGATATGAGGGCCATGAATTAGGACAGGAACAGCAGGTTGTTAAGGGGACCACACTCCACAGATGAATGGGGTCATGGTTGATGTTAACTCCTCTTTTGTGCTTCCACTGCACTCTATACATATTGCACTCACGGTACCTTCAGCAGTATGATGCACCTTATCATTAATATGCCTTGTTCCCATCTAATATACTGTAACTTTCTGAGAAAATCTGCATCTTTTTTATCTCTGTATCCACAGTACCTAACACAAGGAAGATACTCTGTAAAAGCTTGCTAATGAATACCTTATTTATTTGTAATATTAACCATTCTGCAGACATGATAATACTCCCATGATAATACTCCCATCAGATCCTCAAGATTTTCTTACCTTGTAATAATGTTCCAAGAGAATCCTGACTACTCCCTCTACGCTTTCTGCCTCAACAGGCTTCCTGGCAAATTGGAGCAGGTATTGCAAAGCATCTGCTGGAGAGGTAGCTTTACACAGATCTATGTGGAGTGCTGCAGATTTACTTGGTTTTGTTAGTCGGAGTTTCTTAGTAGCAATTTCCTCCTGTTGTTGCTGTGAGGGGTAGAGAAAATAAGACCTAAATGAAAACATAGTATCTGTAAATTTAACTTTGCCTCATTTGATGGAAATAATTTTCCATTATGACAAATAATGTATTCAGCTGATAGACTTAGGAAAAAACAGTATTATAAACTGGAAAAAGAGCTCCAGGTTGGTGATGAGGCCATAAGTCTCAATTTTGCCTTTACTAGCTCCTGTGCCTTTAGGAAAGTCATTTAATTTCTCCAAGTGTCAGTTTATTTCTCCGTAAAATAGGTATACTATTTTTTTTCTTACAGATGGGGTCTCTCGATGTTGCCAAGGCTAGTCTCTAACTCCTGGTCTCAAGCAATCCTCACACCTCAGCCTCCCAAAGTGCTGGGATTACAAGCATGAGCTACTGTGCCCAGCCTTACACTAACATTTTGATCTACCTATCTCTGAGGATTGTGGTAGCCTTTGAGTTTAGAGGCCACACAAAGGATCTACTCCATTCTTGTAAGACAGAGCGAGACGCTGTCACCCAGGCTAGAGTACAATGGCACAATCTTGGCTCTATGCAACCTCCAACCTCCTAGGTTCAAGCAATTCTCTCTTTTTTTTTTTTTTTTTTTAATTTTTTTGAGACGGAGTTTCACTCTTGTTGCCCAGGTGACTGGCGCGCCATGGCACAATCTCTGCTCACTGCAACCTCTGCTTCCCAGGTTCAAGCAATTCTCCTGTCTCAGCTTCCCTAGTAGCTGGGACTACAGGTATGCACCACCAAACCGAGCTAATTTTTGTATTTTTAGTAGTGACAGGATTTCACCATGTTGGCCAGGATGGTCTCTAACTCCTGACCTCACAATCCGCCTGCCTTGGCCTCCCAAAGTACTGGGATTACAGGCGTGAGCCAATGCACCCAGCCCACTTCAAGCAATACTCATGCCTGACTCCCAACTAGCTAGGATTACAGGTGTATGCCACTACACCCGGCTAATTTTTGTATTTTTAGTAGAGATGAGGTTTTGTCATGTTGCCAAGGCTGTTAGTCTTAAAGTCCTGACCTCAAGTGATTCCTCTGCTCCGGCCTCCCAAAGTCCATTCTTTATTAGAAAACAAATACCGGGCCAGGCGTGGTGGTTAACGCCTGTAACTCCAGCACTTTGGGAGGCCGAGGTAATCACTTGAGGCCAGGAGTTCAAGACCAGTCTGGCCAACACAGCAAAACCCCGTCTCTACTAAAAATAAAAAAATTAGCTGGGCATGGTGGTACATGCCTATAGTCCCAGCTACACAGAAGGCTGAGGATCGCTTGAACCCAGGAGCCAGAGGTTGCAATGAGCCAGGATCAAACAACTGCACACGGATTTGGGAAACAAGAGTTAAACTCCATAAAAAAAAAAAAAAAAAAAAAAAATGGAAAGGAAAGGAAACAAATATTGGATGGGGGTTGTGACTTACACCTATAATCCTAGCACTTTGGGAGGCTGAGGCAGGAGGATCCCTTGAACCAAGGAGCTCAAAACCAGCCTGGGCAACATGGTGAAAAATAATAATAGGCCAGGCTCGGTGGCTCATGGCTGTAATCCCAGCACTTTGGAAGGCCGAGGGAGGTAGATCACCTGAGGTCAGGAGTTCGAGACCAGCCTGACCAACATGGAGAAACCCCATCTCAAAATTAGCCAGGCGTGGTGGCACATGCCTGTAATCCCAGCTACTCAGGAGGCTGAAGGAGAATCACTTAAACCTAGGAGGTGGAGGTTGCAGTGAGCCAAGATCGTGTCATTGCACTCCAGCCTGGGCAACAGAGCAAGACTCCATCTCAAAAATAGTAATAATGATAGGCCAGGTACAGTGGCTCATGCCTGTAATCCCAGCACTTTGGGAGGCCAAGGCGGGTGGATCATGGGGTCAGGATTTCAAGACCAGCCTGACCAAAATAGTGAAAGCCTGTCTCTACTAAAAATACAAAAAAATTAGCTGGGTGTGGTGGCAGGTACCTGTAATCCCAGCTACTCGGGAGGCTGAGGCAGCGAACTGCTTGAACCAGGAGGTGGAGGTTGCAGTAAGCTGAGATTGCACCACTGCACTCTAGCCTGGGCAACAGAATGAGATTCCATCTCAAATAACAAAAAATAAAATAAAATAAAATAAAATTCCTTAACACCTAATGCTGTATTTTTAAGTACTGAGCAATTACCTGCTTACAAATTCACTTTTCTAGAGAAAAGAGACTAGGACTATTCTAGACAAGAACACAGTATGACATGATAAAAAGAATAAGGGCTTTGGAGTCAGAGGAATTTGTATTCAATAACAACTTACTAGTTAGGGAGGGCCTTCTTATTCTATAGGAGGGCATAATAATACTTTATTATCACAGAGCTATTTGCTAAATCTAAGTTATTATACATAACTTTATTATACATACATGTAAGTGCTAGATACATAACTGTTCTTCCTCCTCATCTTTTCAGCGGAGAAAAAAGAACAGAAGCACTAAGATCTCATTAATCACTTTGATGTTAACTACTCATGAAAAATTAAATGAAGAAATTGGCTCTCCTCTTAAAATTCTTACTATTTCTATCCTGTTCCTCTCAAGTTCCGTTTTTAGTCTTAGCTAAGGTGGTTAGGTCAAAAGCCAGGAATGTTTTCCCTAAGTGCTATGTAAGGAAGAGGACAAACCTATATCAACTATTCAACCACCAACAACACTTTAGTGACCCAGGCCCTATTGTCCATCTCCAGGACACAGAGATGAACCACTCTACAAGTCTAAGGATCTAAGAATGCAACCGATGCATTGGCATAATTGGGGGCATGTCAAAAATGCAGAATCTTGCCTTATCTCCTCTGCTTGACTTATCAAATAGAACCTACATTTGAACAACGTCCCCAGGTGATTTGTATACACATTAAAATATGAGAAATGGGACATTAGGATTTGGGATCAACCCTAGCGACATCTACGAGGAGACACATGGAGCATCACTGACTGCTCAGACTGGGGCTCTGCCTACCTTTCACAAATTCATGGTGGGGAAGGTACTGCTCTCCTTCCTGCGTTAGCTGTCTGAAGTCTGTGATCCCGCCTGCTTACACCACGCCTGAAGGAATTCTATAGACCCTTCTTTCAGCCCCTTAGAGGCTTTCGTATATCCAAACTGGTCCCTGGGAGCTTTTTTTGGAACGTGGGGTGGGGAGGCTAGAAGCGGCTCCGCTGCTAACTGGCTGTAACCTCATACCCCTCGGGAAGGCTCAATGTCCACATCTAGAAAACGAGGGTGCTAATTTAACGCTATGTAGCAAAGTTGTGTAAAAGAATAAAATAAGATAATGAGATATCGGATAAGACAGTTCCGCAAATTAAAAACACTGTTTCTCCTAATAATTTTTTTTAAAATCCTGTCAGACTACACATATTAATGACAACAGCGGCTGCAAACTAACACGCCCACTAACGCGCAATATTAAAGACTATAAAGAAGTCGGCACTTAACACGGGCGTATGGAGCCTGTTCTGTTCTGGCAAAGTGCCGGGGTTTTGGATAATCTCCCCTGCTCCGGGTCGGTTCTGGATCTTTCCCGCCAGAACTTACCTGAACCACTTTCGTGAATTCCTCATAAACCCGCTTCTTAAGGTGCGCCGCCATGCCTACCCCGGGGCCCTCTCAGCTTCCGCACAGTACGAGTGAGGCGGGGTGGACTGATCCGGAAAACTTGTCTAGGCGCGGGGATGGGTGGATGACTTGCCGAGATCCCACAAGGCAGTGGGGTTTGGGGAAAGAGCGACCGCTTCCTGTTGCTCGACTGCCCGCCACTTTACGGACTGATTTGGCGGCCTACGCCTCCTGCACCGGAAGAGCAGAAAAGGGAGAGCGGCTTGCGGGAGGCGGTGCCTCTGGCGGGAGAAGCCAAGACTGAAAGGGTGGACCACCCAATAAGCTTTGGGAGGCTGGCTGGTGGCCTCGGAGTGGCTAAGGGACTGGTGCAGCGCAGCGCGAAGGGAGGGAGGAGGTATAGGTTAAAGGGCGGAGGCGGGGAATCCAAAACTAGAGGCTAAACCTGGAGCCTTGTAAGGGGTTTGACTGGTGAAAGAACTCAAAGAGGCTCAGCTGACATTTTCATCATCCTTTGCTATACAAGATGCTGCTTCTACGTTTTCTGAGCACTGCTTTTGTTCAAGCTATGCGCTACCTCTCTCCTGTTTTGGGGTGCCTTTCCATACTCCCTTATTCCAGTTTTGCAAAAGCTGCTATCCTTTAAGGCATCAGTCCCTGCTCTGATAGCTGTAGTACAGTAGAATGACTATTGAGACCAAGGATAAAGCAACGAAGCTACAGACTACAGCTCTGGTTGTTGATGAGTAAATGGCTCAACTACAAATGCACTGGTACCTAACCTGACAAAGATGTGACAATGCAGGAACATTTTATGGACCGTAAGTTGTGATGCACACGTTAGTGTCAGTAAATCCAAGGTCAAGTTTTACAACCTACATGAAACTAGCTGTTCATTGTTTTGGTCTTTCAAAAGAATGTGGTCCGGGCACAGTATAGCTCATGACTGTAATCCCCACACTTTGGGAGGCCGAGAAGGGCAGATCAGTTGAGGTCAGGAGTTTGAGACCAGCCTGGCCAACATGGTGAAACCCCATCTCTACTAAAAATACAAAAATTGGCCAGGCATGGCCAGAATACTCCCCTGTATTCCCAGGCTTCTTGGGAGGTTGAGGCAGGAGAATCGCTTGAACTTGGGAGGCGGAGGTTGCAGTGAGCTGAGATCGTGCCACTACACTCCAGCCCAGTTGACAGAGTCAGACTCCGTATCAAAAAAAAAAAAAAAAATTAATGTGGGATAGTTAGAAAAAGCAGGAGGCTGAGGTGGATACAGAGGACCCAACATAAACAAAAGATAGTATTTATCCTCAAGGTCGTACAATCTGAAAAGAGAGACACCCAAACTGGTGGTTACAGTGCAACAGAAATGTGCTAGGTAACGGGAATGAATGTAGCTCAAACAGCCGTAATTTCCTCAGAGTACCTCAAGGAAGCCTTTCTTTTCTTTCTTTTTTTTTTTTTTTTTTTTTTTTTTTTTTTTTTTTTTTTTTTTTTTTTTTTTTTTTTTGAGACATAGTCTCGATCTGTCACCCAGGCTGAAGAGCAGTGGCACGATCTCGGCTCACTGCAACCTCTACCTCCTGGGTTCAAACAATTCTCCTGCCTTAGCCTCACGAGTAGCTGGGACTACAGAGGCGTGCCACCATGCTCGGCTAATTTTTTTGTATTTTTAGTAGAGACGGGATTTCACTGTGTTAGCCAGGATGGTTTTGATTTCCTGACCTCGTGATCCACCCACCTCGGCCTCCCAAAGTGCTGGGATTACAGGCGTCTGCCACCGCACCGGCCAGGGAAGCCTTAAAAATAGAGGAAACGGGATCACTTGAGATCAAGAGCTCAAGACTAGCTTAGCCAACATACCCCTGCCCCCCCACGCCACCCACCCCCGTCAAAAAAAAAAAAAGAAGGCCGGGCGCAGTGGCTCAAGCCTGTAATCCCAGCACTTTGGGAGGCCGAGGCGGGCGGATCACGAGGTCAAGAGATCGAGACCATCCTGGTCAACATGGTGAAACCCCGTCTCTACTAAAAATACAAAAAATTAGCTGGGCATGGTGGCGCGTGCCTGTAATCCCAGCTACTCAGGAGGCTGAGGCAGGAGAATTGCTTGAACCCAGGAGGTGGAGGTTGCGGTGCACGGAGATCAGGCCACCGCACTCCAGCATGGCCAACAGAGCCAGATAATTTCTCAAAAAAAAAAAAAAAAAAATATTTCTAATCCGGCTTTAAAAGAGTGAGTTTAAAAAAAAAAAAAAAAAAAAAAGGGTGAGTTTTTCTAGAAACAAGGGTATCCCAGACCACCGAGATAAGATATACAAATAGGTCAAGGGAAATGAAAAATATTTAGCAAACAGTGCCTTCAAAAAGGTTAGCTGCTATTATTATTACCATTATCATATTCTATCAAATCTAAGCTGCCAGCAATTGTAAAACAAATATTTTATTTATTATATTAAGAAAAAATGCTGAAATCAAAAAACAATGGTTTCTAATTCTTAGATTTGTTATGTATACTTACAGAAACAGCTCTTTTAATCTTATTTAGATATAGATTTGTATCTTACGTTATACTGCCGTTTCCATGTCTTTCTGTACACACAAAAACTTTTCAATGCCGAATTATAGGGTAATCTATTTGGAGATATATTAAATAGCAATTAAAAATAACACAAGTACTGCCAAAATTGCACAGAGCTCAGTCGAAGTGATGACATCGTGAACTGCTACGACTCAATCTTCATATGAGCAATTGGCCAACATCTCCTGATTTCAGAGACATTAAATGTGCATCATATCATCAGTGATACAGAGTATTATCATTGTTATTAAATACATGGTGGCCAGGTGCGGTGACTCACATCTGCAATCCCAGCACTTTGGAAGACCAAGGTGAGGAGGGGACAGCTTGAGCTCAGGAGTCGGAGACCAGCCTGGGCAACATGGTGAAAACCCATCTCTACCAAAAATACAAAAAATTAGCTGGGCATGATGGCATATTCCTATAGTGACAGCTACTCAAGAGGCTGATGTAGGAGGATTGCTTGAGCCCGCTGGGCAGAGGTTGCAGTAGCTGAGATTGCACCACTGCTCTCCAGCCTAGGTAACAGAATGAGACCCTGTCTCAAAATAATAATAACATAAATAAATAAGTAAATAAATAAATCAATCCATGACTTTAGGAAGAAGTTTGTTGCATTCCAAAAATGAGAGGAACTTCAGTTTATGTTGAAAGTAAAATGTGTGCAGGGAACAGGAAGAAGCAATAAAAATAAAGTTGAGACCCCACATGGTGCCTCATGCCTTTAATCCCAGTATTTTGGAAAGTGGTAGGTGGGAGGATCACTTCAGCTCAGTAGTTCCAGACCAGCCAGTGCAACATAATGAGACCCTGTCTCTATATTTATAAAAAAAAAAAAAAAAGAAAAAAGAAAAAAAAAATTTACATGGAATTTAGCTCTATCACCCAGGCAAGATTGTGGCTCACTGCAGCCTCCACCTCCCAGGTTCAAACAATTCTCCTGCCTCAGCCTTATGAGTAGCTGGGATTACAGGCATGTGCCACAACACCCAGCTAATCTTTTTGCATTTTTAGTAGTGGCAGGGTCTCACCATGTTGCCAAGGCTTGTCTCAAACTCCTGACCTCAAGTGATCTGCCTACCTCAGTCTCCCAAAATGTTGGGATTACAGGCACGAGTCACCATGCCTGGCTATATCAAATTTTTTTAAATTATAAATAAATTTGAGAAGTTGATATAGGTAACTTCTCAATAAGCCAGATTGGTACAGAAACAAGAACACACATTCTTTAATGTTGAACTTAAAACTGTCTTTATTGTATTGATGCCATCTTCCTTTGATTTTTATTATTGCATATGAGAATACATCAAGGTTCCCCTGCGAATGAATCCTGATGCTTCAATCTTCTCTGTCTCTTGCCTAACAGCAGCCAACTTAATAACTTCTTTACCTGCTGGTTCAGCAACAAGAGACTCAATGGTCTGGGGACAGTCTCATTACATGTTCAATGTGATGAACAATGACTATATTCGCTAGGGGAACTGTTACTGCCTTGGGGACTAAGTATTCCAAACCTACTGAGCCCAAGAATTCATAAATGAATTATTAGGTGTAAAAGAGAGAGGAACTGCTCCTACCTCCACCCCTTGATACCTAGATCCATGTTCTAACTGTGGGAGAAACTGTACTATATTTTAGCTGTTGGTATAAGGCATATACCACAAACCTGTAAGACAGCAGCCCAAGCTCACAAAGTGTTGGCTCTTGGCTAGCTATATCTCCTGGCTAGGTATAACTGAATCTGCAAAAGGTCATTATATCGCTTTATTATAGCACCTACATCTGAGTAATATGGTTTCTGGCAAGACCAAGAAGTTTCTTAACTACAATTTTCTCAGTATAAAATAAGCTCTTTAATCAGAAGCAATGTGTGAAATATTACCATAATGAATGAGGCATAGATAATAGATATATCTATTAGATAATGGGGCTGGCGGAAATATTGCAGGTAGGGAAGTCAAATCTGAATTTGGAATTCTTTCTTTCTTTCTTTCTTTCTTTTTTTTGAGATGGAGCTTCACTCTTTTTGTCCAGGCTGGAGTGCAGTGGCATGATCTCAGCTCACCACAACCTCCGCCTCCTGGATTCAAGCAATTCTCCTGCTTCAGCCTCCTGAGAAGCTGGGATTACAGGCACGTGCCACCACACACAGCTAATTTTTGTATTTTTAGTAGATACAGGATTTCTCCATGTTGGTCAAGCTGATCTTGAACTCCTGACCTCAGGTGATCCACCTGCCTCAGCCTCCTAAAGTGCTGGGATTACAGGTGTGAGCCACCGTGCCTGGCTGCTGAATTTGGAATCTGAATCTATTCCTGTGAGGACAAATCACTGCTCCTTCCATGATGGAAAGGATACAGTGTGTAGTGGAATGATTGTAAAAATGGCTCTAATTCTCCCCCTCTCGGTATGTATACCCCTTGAAATGTAACTTTGAAGGTGCTTTTATTAAGAGGTGAAATCTATATCTTCACCCTTTGAATTTGAACTGGCCTTGTGACAGGCCAGTACAATGTGGTAGAAGTAGCAGTGTGCCGATTTTGAGTCTAAGCCTCAAGGTCCATCCACATACAATTTCCCAGACCTTTTGTTTGATTTTGGAGCCCCACCGTTGCCATGACAGCAAATCCCACCTGGCCTGCTGAAGAGCAAGTGACTACAT